AATTCGTTTACAAAAAGATTTCATTCTGCAGTTAAAATTATGAATAAAATACAATTTTTTCCATCAGAACTCATTTTTTAAGCAATGAAAATATCATATTCGGGATTAGTCTCGAAAACCGATTCGAATGATATATCACAGAGGAAACTTGCTAAACTTTCGAACGCGTTATGATCGTTGTGCCTTTCGAAACGGTGTTTTCGCTGCATTTTTACGAGTTTTTCATTTAAAATCGTGATTTTTGACGAGTTGAAACTGTTTTTCACGTTGTAGTTTAGTTTTTAGTTTATTAGTTAGTTTATTATTTGACAAACAGTCATGAGTACACAGTAGCACACGTTAAACACAGCTAATACAGAAATGACTAGAAGAACATATTCTACCGCGCACCCATATAACATACTAAAAATAAAAAATAAAAACAGAAAAGAGAAAAAGGAAAACGCAACTAAAATTTGAGCGTTACGATGACACTAAATGCTAACATTGTAATAGACTACGCAAACCAACTTTAAAGATACGCAGATTAGATGCACTGACAAGCGGCTCAGTTAGTATCCTGTTCCAGTCAAGCGTGGTCTGCCAAAAGAAAGATGATTGCAATGTTTGGAAATCAGAGAAGGGAACCGTGACGCAGCGAGAGTGGAGCCTATTACGATCAGATGCTCTAGTGGTAGAAAGACTGATAAAACTAGAAGAATTTATCAAGGAGTAGTTGTTGATTAAACGAAAGTAGTTAACTAAACGAAAATACAACCGTCTAGTTTTTAGTTCAGAAATCCTCAATTTGTTTATTAAATTCGTACTATCGTGTAGGTAGTTGAAATCTCTTGTAAGAATTTTGGCTGCTAACCGCTGAACAATTTTCAAGGGCTCAGTATGTGTAACAAAGCTAGAGTCATAGATTGCAGAGCAGTAATCAATTTTCGGAATGACGCAAGACATATAGAGCAGTAATCTAAGAGAGGCAGGAGCATCACGAAAGACTCGGTTAATGGCTCCTAGCACACGTCTACAAGATAAAGCTACTTCATTAATGTGCACAGACCATTTTAAATCATAAGATAGACGCACATCTAAGAGTTTTGGAGGTGGATCGTGTTTTAATAGTTGATTATCAACAAAGAAAGACAGGTTAACCTCAAACTTAGGATCCAAACAAAAATAAGTTCATGAACATTTGTCTATGTTCAACCCCAGACAGTTTTTCACACACCAAGTAGCAATACGGTCAATTTCCTGTTGGATTAAGTGTTGAATGTTAATAACAGAATCCAATTTTAGGAACGGAATTAAAACAAAAAGGTCGGCGGCAAATAAGCTGTACAATACGAAGGCCGACGCAATTGTTGGTAGGTCATTTATAAAAAGTAACAATAGAAGTGGACCTAGAACCGATCCTTGTAACGAATTGTATTGTATTTATTCATAATTTTAATTGCAGAATGAAATCTTTTTGTAAACGAATTATAAACGAAAAGTGACTTAATTCGCTTGTTTAAGTTGTTGGAAATTGTAGAGAATGTGTTTAAACGCATCGATTTGATTGAAAATCGTATATGAAAAGACGTTGAAATACATCCAGCGGTTTGAGATGACCGTTTTTGTGAACAGCATGTGAGAGAAATGCATTTTAATATATCATCTTTTAATTCTAAACACGTTTAAACAACCAACTATTCCTGAATGAAATACTCCCAGTTAATTTCATTTTTTATTAAATTATTTAATTATACACGTTATAATTTGGTAATAAAAGGTAAATCTTTTGTATGAAATGCATATGATGAAGCAAATACAACATATTGGTATAATGTAGAAGATATTGCACAAATATCAGGAGACTGGATGAAAGAATTTTGTGATCAAAATATTCGAATAATTCGATCAGTAGATCAACAAGATGACAGAAATTTATCGACAATTTTAATTGAACTATTAAACGAATATAAACAAGATGAAAAGTTGACAATTATTTCATTGAAGTATGTGGGAATTTCCTGATGAATTTTTAGCTAAAATACAAGACAATCGTTTAGAGGAAATAAATAAAAAATCTATTTGTTTTATTTGGGAACGACAAGAAAATTAACGTGAATTAAAAACATTAATTGAAATAAGAAATAAAAATAAAAATACAACAATAAAAAATAAATTAAATGAATTAAAATTATTTATAGAACAGATGGAAGAATTTTCCGATAAAAATTTAACAATTGATAATATTAAGACATGGACAATTGAATTTAATAAATTGGAAAATATTGAAATGAAATAAAAACGTTTACCAGAATTATTGCCCATAATAGAACAGGGAATAAAAATTTATTTTCCAGAAATAAAATCACTTCGTTATGCACAAAAATCAACAATTTCTGCATTTATTTTTAATAAAAAAGAAATTTAATAGCACAAGTTTCAACTGGTGAAGGAAAATCTTTAATTATTGCCACAATTATGATAATTAAATGTGTACTTAGCGAAAAAGGTGATATTGTTACAAGTTCACCAGTTTTACCTGAACATGATGGAAATGAAAATGAAAAAATTATACAATTTATTTGATATTTCTGTTTCACATAATTCGTCTGAAGATGTTAATCAACGACGAATTGCATATAAAAAAACAAATTGTTTACGGAGATGTTTCAAGCTTTCAACGTGATTATCTTTTAGAGCATTTTTATGGGAAACGAATTTTAGATGATCAATATGAAAATGGACGAAAAACTATTCTTGTTGATGAAGTTGATTCAATGTTATTAGATAAAGAAAACTGTGTTTTATATTTGGCACATCAGCCATCAAATTTAGATTCACTAGAATCTGTTTATGTTTTTATTTGGCAAATGATTGTATTGAATGTAGTTAATGGAAAATATTCATCAATTTTGAAAATAAAAAAAAAATTATTTTACACAATTTATATTCAATTTTAGATATATAAATTAACAAAAAATCGTGTAATAATTGAAGAATTTTGGAATAAATTAAATGAAAATAATAACATTGATGAATCAGGTAAAATTTTATTATCTGAAAATATTAAATTTGAAAATGAAAATTTAAATGAATTTTTTTTAAAATCGATAGAATATTTATTTGATAAAATTATTAATCATGAAAAACAAAAAATTCAAATATCAAATTATTTAAAATCATTTGTTGAACAACATTTAACTATATGGATTCAAAGTGGAATAAAAGTATTTCAAATGGAAGAAGGTCGAAATTATATTATTAATGTTAATAAAACTTTAACTTAATTAGATAAACATTCAAATATAATAATTATTGATTGTGACACCGGTGTCGATGAAATAAATAGTCAATGAAATGAATGTTTTTAAATCAATTTTTACAATTAAAACATCAATATAAAACATCTTTGATCAATTTAAAAGCTGTTTTCATTTCAAATATATTATTTTTTAATATGGACACAAATATTTAAAGTTTAAGTGGAAACATTGGGCTCAGAAAGTGAACATGAATTTTTAAAAAATAACATACAATGTTGATTTTATTACGGTTCCCATGGCATTGACAAGTAGATTCAAAGAAGATCAACCGATTATTTGTAAAAATATTGAACAATGGAGAAAAACAATTGTTGAAACAGCAATGAAAATCAGTAACAGGAAAAAACAAACGATCAATTATAATTATTTGTAAAATAATAAAAAGGTGTTGAAAAAATAAAACAATCATTTAAACAATATGCTGAAGAAGAAAACAAAAACAAAGAGAGCAGTAGCACCACCACCACCACCATCAGAAAATCACCATGGTCCTTGCTCAAGGATGATACACAAAACTTTGTTTATTCATCAAATATTTTTTTGTTTATAAAAGAAGTTATGAAAGATTTTGTATGGCAAATGAAGGATTAGATGCTGGAAAAATTATTATTGCAACAAATTTAGCCAGTTGAGGTACTGGCATTAAAGTTCCAGAACATTTAAATAAAAAAGGTGGTTTACATGTTCTATTAACATATTTAGCGGAAAATTATCGAATTGAACAACAAATATTCGAACAGGAAGAAAAGGACAAAACGGATCGGGACAGTTGATATTTATTGATAAATTTAACCTTGAATCAGATGATGATAGTGATCATGAATTATATTCACCATTAAAAGTTATTGATGAAAAACATAAAAGAGATTACAATGAATTGAGTTGTGTCGGTGAAATATGTGAATATTATGAAACATCTATACAGTTTAAAGAATATTTATTTACTTGTTATCATAAATCTTATGATAAATTAAAAGAAAAAATTAACAAGAGAATAAAATTCGAGATGATATTAAAGATGTTATACTGAATTCTGTTTTAAATAAATGGACATTCTGATTAGATGAAATTGGTTCAATAATGATGATCATGAATAACAACAGAACGAGTAAAAATAAAAAATCTAATATGTGACAACAAAAATATTTGAATTATTAGAAAAATTTATTAAAAAATTAGATATCGTTGACGATTCAATAGAAAAATTTGTTAGTGAACCGAGTAAATTAATTAAATTAGGTAAATATTATATGAAAATCGAAGATTTCAATTCTGCAATTAAAATTAAGAATAAAATTATAAAAGAAGAATCAAAATTTTCTCAAACCGCCTATTATTATAAAACACATTGTCTAATAAAATAAACAAATTTATTAACAACAAAAGATAAAATTAATTTTCATGTATTATTAAATCAAGCAGAAATTTTATTTAATAATCATAGTGGAATATTACAACGACGAAATGCTATAATAAATCAAATAAATTTAGTCAATTCACCAATGAAGTTAGTGACAATTGAATCATATTGAATACAAAATGTAAATATTTGTAATTTATATTCAAAATTTTATTTGATCAGTTCATAATATTCGTGGTCATCAAGTAACATCAGACACTTTATTGAGTACTGATATTGATCAATAATTGGCAAATAATATTTTCAAAAATTTACTCAGTTTAGATAAAATAATTTTATTTGAAAGAAAATTTAATCCAAATTTTGATAAAAATAATTTAAAAATAATTTCAATTAATTAGCAATTCATAAATTAATGCTACAATTGTTTACGAATTTGATAATTACAGACAAGAAGAATCGTAAATTTGAGACAACGTGGTATCGAAAACCAACAGCAGGTAAATCATTACTAGATTTTAGGTCGGATCATAATGAAACCATTAAACAGTACATTGCTAGTAATATGCCAATAAAATAATGATGATAAATAAAAATGAAACAAACAAGTCAGACATCACAGCTCTTTGTCAATTATTGCTAAATAGTAGTTATCCTAACTCTACCACAAAAACTATAAAGAATAAAGTTAGAAACATTAGGAAAAACCACAACTGACAAATCGATTTTTCA